GCGGAAGCGGCGGCGGCGATGACTGACGGTCGAAGCGGCTCGACCCATCCCGGGCCGGCCGCGCTCCCGTCCCCTGCTGCCGACGATGGTTGACGGCGAAGACCTCCTCCGCCGGAAGGGTGGCTGCCGCCACCGCACGCCCAGCCGCTGCCCTGCTGGCCTTCCGCCGCTGCGACAGCAAGTTGGCGTGGAGGAGTCGCGCCGCTTGTAGAGAAGTCATCTCAGAATCCTCCTGTGCCACGACGGCGATGTCCAGGTCGTCTGCTAGCAGGAGGATTTTTTCAGTTACCATGGCGTCGACCCCGTCCTCGTCCATGCGAGGAAAAGCTGTCTTGGCCAATGCCAGGAGGCTTGTTCTGTAAGCCAGCGGCGACTCCTTCGCGCCCCGCTGGCGGTCGTAGAACTGCTGTCTACACTCCGCAGAAGGCCCGTAGACTCCGGCCAGCAGCTGCAGCGCCATCGGCAGCGTAGAGCGCCTTTCCTTTGGCGCCGATGTTAGGGCGGCAAGCGCGTCGCCGTCCAGGAGCGCTGGCAGGGCGCTGAGAGCCTCAGCGTCTGTCCATTTGGCCATTTCTTGGTGGGCGAGGAAGCGTCTTTGGAAGCCGCCCCAGTCGCCCTCTGCGCCCACGAATTCTTTAAGCGGGGGCAGCCTTTGGTGCAGCGCAGCGGTTGCCGTGGAGTCCCGTGGGCTGCTGTCTCCCCGACTCGGCTGTGTCTCGGCGCGAACGGCAGATGGCATCGCCTGTCGCAGCCTTGATGACGCGCCCTCCTCCGTCGTTGATGCGGCAGCCCCAGCGCGGCCGATGTCGGACCCCAGGTTGAGGTTGGCCACGCCCCTAGCGGTCGCCGCGTCGATGGCGGGAAATTCAAAATTTGAATCTTCAGAAATGGCGGGAAGGCGCTCCGGACGACGGCTCCCCTCGCCCCGCGGTGGACCACCAGCCCCCAGCCGCGTGATGTTCTCCAGCGTAGCGGCAGCGGCGTAGAGCAGTTCAGCCAGCCTCTCGTGAGCCAGTCTCAGGTCGTCTGTCCGCTGCTCCTCTTCATGGCGACGCTCCGGTAAGAACGCGTCCGGCCCCGGCTGCACGTTGTCCTGTTGAGCCATCTCGGGCTCGACAATTTCGGCGGCGTCTTCCGTTTGCTGTTCCCTGGCTCGAGCTGATTGGCGCGTGTCCATGTTCTTAGTTCTTCTGACACCAGATGTAGTACTCTTCAAGACGCGTGGACAACGTGGTAAGGCACACGTATTTATTTGCACAATGTCTTACAGCACTGGAGGGATGTATCGGCCCCCTCACCCGTACAACTGGGAATTCACCCCTAGCTAGCCTTCCTAGCCGAGTCCTCCGCTAACGGGCTAGGGGAGGCTATCTGGCCCGACACTGGTTAGTCGGGCTACGGTACCCGGAATCCCAGAGATCTAACTCTGGTTCCGGGACCACGCCACTGGCTCCAGCCTGCGCTGCCCTTACAAGGGCGGCGTCCCAGGGGGAGTCCAGGGCCTATCTGGCCGGTCTTCTGTCTTCCCTTAACTACCCTTAGACTGAGCCCCGAGCTCTCTGGCTCATCCCTTTTTATACCCCCCTAGAGGATCGAAACCCCCCTCACGCCGTCCAGTGCGGACGTCGTTGCGGGCACCACCCCGTGTGCTCACGGAGTCCCCACCCACTGTGTTTGTTATCCGTTAGCCCTTATGCAAACAGCCCCACACAAACAGCCCCTCTGTAACAGCCCTACATC